TGAAATAGAAGACTCGAGACAGAGGGCAGGGAAAACTTAGGCAGATAGAGAACATACTGATATTATATAAGTCAAGAAACTAAAATCACATAAAGATGAAATAGAAAACATAAGGTACAGGGAAAACTTAAGCAAATATAGAACATAACGGTATGAAGAGCCAGAGACCAGTTCCCCTCTGGACTCTGTCCCGTCATATCATCCCTAGAAGCATTTCCCTGACATCTAGAGAAAGTACACTCTGGCTAGCCAAGATTGGCAATTACCTGAACATAAGCGAGTAAGGGTCAGCCCCCCCCCCCCCCCCATCCCTTTGATCCCGCTTATTAAGAAAAAAGCCATAAAACAAAAATGAAAAAATGTAATGGATAAAACAACGTACCAAAAACGACCCAGGTATAAAATGACGCTTATAATAATTTTTAAAAATACAGAAAAATTGATTTAGGAAATCAATGAAAAATCAGGAAAATAATGAGATAGAAATATTCCTCCACCCAAACCTACCAAAAAATATGTCGATGTACTGGTAATGAAACAAACATTCTCTATCGGGTCAAGGTTCACTTTCCCTTTGACCCTTGACCCGACAGGACGTCAAATACAAAAACAAATCGAGCACTGAAAAACTGATCGAGCCTATTCAGAAAAAAAAATTAAGTAAAACAAACCAACCCTACCTCTCTCCTTCAACTTTGCTGAAGCATGTCTGTCTACGCCCCCCCCCCCCCCCCCGGCACACAAACACATTTTTAACGTATTTATTAGAAAAAAAATCCCAGTTAATGGAAACAATCCTGTCTATAGTTACCAAACATTACTGACATGAAAGTATGGTTTGACTGGCCTTATATATGAGTAATAAAAAAAGGGTTAGTGTTAGTAGCCTACATATCATACACATCAGATACATTAATCAGAAATGACATTCTACTGAGACTGGCGCACTTCCTAGCTCGACATTCCGGTGTTAGGGCGTCTTATCTACGAGTAGTTTTAATGATATACAGTGACTTGTGTGAGTTGTTATGATGTACTTCTTAAGGTAGTTAGCTTGTTACATAAATGATTATAATGACTATGTACATGTACATGTACAAACACACACACACACACACACACAAACACACACACACACCCACACACACAAACACAGTGATGGAGTAGACGAGGGTGGGAAGAGTGAAAAGAGAAGCAAAGAAAGAGAAAGAAAAGCGGGGAGAGGGAAGGAAATAGAACGGGGGGGAGGAAGTCAGATAGATAGATAGATAGATAGATAGATAGATAGATAGATAGATAGATAGATAGATCGATCGATAGATCGATAGACAAACATATAGACAAATTGAAAGATAAATATATAAATAGATAGATAGATAGATAGATAGATAGATAGATAGATAGATAGATAGATAGATAGATAGATAGATAGATAAATAGAAAAAGATAACGACCTCTTTTTCCTCGCTCACCACCAACTCTTCCTCACCCATCTAAACCTCTTCCTAGCCTTTAACCCACCTCCACTTCCTCCTATTCCTTAACCTTAATGCACATCTACCTCCTCCTTGCCCGTAACCTAAAAAAATCCACCTCTTCCTAGCCCTTAACCTTAACCCATATCTATCTCCCCCTAACCCTCAACCTTGAACCCAAACTACCTCCTTCTATCCCTTAACCTTAACCCATATCCACCATCTCCTAGCCCTTAACCTTAACCCATATCTATCTCCCCCCTAACCCTCAACCTTGAACCCAAACTACCTCCTTCTATCCCTTAACCTTAACCCACATCCACCACCTCCTAGCCCTAAACCTTAACCCATATCCACCACCTCCTAGCCCTTTTCTCACCTCAACCTACCTTCTCTACCTTAACCACCCACACCTCTACCTAACCCACCTACACCTCCTCCTAGCCATTAAAAGCCTAACGCATCTCTACCTCCACCTCCTCTCCCTTAAGCACCTCAACCTCCAACACCTCCACCTCCGGCCTCCGTCCCGCTGCTGTCCCCTTCTCCACTTCTACCTCAAGATCTAACACCACCTTTCCCTCTCCTTTAACAAGCTCTACGTCCACTACCACCTCTCTCTTACCTACCTTCACCTCCTCCCCCTCCGCAAACTTACCCATCTCTATCGTCACCACTACCTCCTTTCCCCCTACCTTAAACACTTTCTCCGTCTTACTTACCACCTTCTCTGCCTCGCTCACCTCCTCTCCGTCACTCACCACTACCACCTCTTCTCCCTCACCAACCGTCCCCCCCTCCTCATCATCACTCACCACTATCACCTCGTCTCTCTCACCAACCTCGTCCTCATCATCACTCACCACTATCACCTCGTCTCTCTCACCAACCTCGTCCTCATCATCACTCACCACTATCACCTCCTCTCCCTCACCTAACCCCACCTCACCTCGCCACTCTCCACCCACTCTCCTTCTCTTCCTACGCGACTCCTCCCCATCTACAAACCTCCTCCTCTGAGGTACAATCCTAACCCTTCCAATCTCCACCTGGGTCTCCTCCGCTCCCACCAGGGAAGGTGTGGTCCGTTGCTCCGCCATTCCGTCAGCTTCTTCTCGTCAGGGACGTCTCGGGTGATCTGTGGAAGAGAAGAGAAGAACAAGGGAAACCTTGGATTAGTTACATGTTTGGAAGAATGGTAAGAATGTCATACATGCATTATTTAATCCATTATCATCATATCTGGATTTGTTTTTATTAAGAAAAGCCTATCATAATATAATTTCAAATATTATTTAACAAGCAAATATTCCGATTCAAAGCAAAGGCAATTTCTAACAGCAGTCGCAGTGTGAAAAGGGCGTAGGCCCATTTAAAGGTGCCGCAGTAAAAAGCTCGTTCAGGCGGCTACACGTCCTGACATTCAATCTAGGGTCACCCGCGCAGTACCCTAGCCTAAGAACAATTTTGGTAATCTGTGAGTCCTAATATAAGGGAAAAAATGCATAAATTATGTGTGGGTCCACATTAGTAGAATCGTTCGTCTACATTTTGTCACCATTACAAGTGATGTGGTAAAAGATTAAAACATTTTTTTAGTTAAGTCGAAGTCGAAGGGAGAGTAGAGGAGAGAGAAAGAGAGAGAGAGAGA